ACAGTTTGGAAGTTTCTTAAAGACAGACTTTCATACCACCCACCAGTTCCACCCTTAGGAAACTTCCCAAGAGGAATGAAAATATGTCCGTGCAAAGACTTACATACAAATATTCACAACAGCATTATTTATAATAACCCCAAACTGAAACAATCCAAATGTCCACCAACTTGTGAAAGGATAAACAAAAAGTCGAATATCCACACAGTGGACTATTATTGGGCACTAAAAAGAATGAGGTACAGATACATGCTACCCCATGGGTGGACCTCAAAAACACTATGCTGAGTGAAAGAAACCAGACGTAACGGACTACATACTGTGTGATTCCTTTTATATAAAATTTCCAGAAAAAGCAAATCTACAGAGATAGTAGGTTAGTGGTTGTCTAGGACTGGGGTGGGAGGAGGGGCTGTCTGCCAACAATGGGAGAGACCTTTCTGGAGTGATAGAAGTGTTTTAAAACTGGATTATAGTAATGTTACACAACTCTATAAATTTATTAAAAATCATTGATTTGTATACTTTGAATAGATGAACGGATTTTATGGTAAGTACATCATGCCTCAATAAAGACTTTTTTTTTTTAATGAAATTATACCCCCATCCACATTGCTTGAGAGTTGCTGAAGTGTCTGTGTCACTAAGCACTGGGCAGTAACACTTTCAATCTTTTCTTTAAACCAGACTGGTTTTAAAAACTCACATCTCATTATTCTTAATAATATACTATTCTCTGACTTTTAGTAAAACTAAACATTTTCATCTATTGAGTCTGTTATTTTCTTATAAGGATATACATCTTTTCCATAAGGACATGTGAACCTCCTTATCTTTCTAAAATAGCACTTTTTTCAGTGATACGTGGTACAAATACTTTTTCCCCAGTTGTTCATAAATTTTAAAATTTTGTTAAGAGAGTTTTCTTTTCTTTGCTATACTGACATATTCATTTTTATGTAGTCAAAGTTATCTCTATTTTCATTTACAGAATCTGTCTCTGGTGTTATAATATGTGATATTCCTTTGAAAGATTAATCAGAAACCTTGAGTATTGTTAGTTAAGCATCCTACATGCCAAGCCCAGCACTACTGGGCCTTTCTACTTTATGAAAAGAGATAAAACGTAATTTCAAATCTCAAAGCTAGAGGCAGACAGACTTTTCTTCCTTAAACCTTTATTTTAACTGTAAAGAGAGACTAGTGTTTACATCGCAAATTCCTGGAAAACTGCCTCATTAGAGAAAATTTCTGATGTGATACACTCGACATTTCCAATAGTTCCAGTGATGAAGAACTGGAAAAATAAAAAGAAGGATGTGAAAGTGTGTTTGCTACTCATGCCAGGACCATGGCTCTAGGACTTGCTGGCTGAGGTCTCTTTGTAGACCATCAGGTCATCACATAACAGCGTGATCACTGTAAGCATTCGTGGATGTCTGACCAGAACAGTCTAGAATGCAGTCATTCACTGTCCCACCACCACCTGAGTCCAGGAAATTAGTGGGTGGTGACCCACCACCCATTAGGTAATGAATAGAGGAAATTCAACTTTATTTAAATCTCACTAACTTGGGAAGGGATGGAACGCTAACTGAAGAACTCGTCACCACTGAGGGCTATACTGCTTCAAAAAATACTCCCGCAGTTATAAAAACCATTTGGTTTTGTGTAGTTATGACTATCACACACGAAGATATAGATAAAACTCACAAAGGTAAGACAGACTCAAGGATGTATTGTACAACACGGAGAATATAGCCAATTTTTTTTTGTAATAACTGTAAATGGAAAGTAATGTTTAAAAATTGTATAGGGCTTCCCTGGTGGCGCAGTGGTTGAGAGTCTGCCTGCCGATGCAGGGGACACGGGGTCGTGCCCCGGTCCGGGAAGATCCCACGTGCCGCGGAGTGGCTGGGCCCGTGAGCCATGGCCGCTGAGCCTGCGCGTCCGGAGCCTGTGCTCCGCAACGGGAGAGGCCACAGCAGTGAGAGGCCCGCGGACCGCAAAAAAAAAAAAAAAAAAAAAAAAAAAAAAAAAAAAAAAAAAAAAAAAAAAATTTAAAGAAATGTCATAAGAATGTTTTATATTAATGTGGATACTGTGGCCTTCGAGGTACAGTATATACCTGAGGCCTGGTCATGTTGAGATACAATCAGAAGAGGCATCCAAATGCCTGAAAACAGAAAATGCCTGCTTTTCTCTTTGTATATTTGAAACTGCCCTCCCCCAACACACACTTTCAAGACTGGCCCCAGTTCAACCTTCTTTCTTTATCTATCCTACAGCTTTTAGAATCTATACTATGTATTCTGGGACATATATACAGGCTTAATATTACTCAGTTGTTTTGTGGCCACTACCCTTATCACCTCATTGAATTCAACAGAAGCTCCATGAGGGTAAACTTCATATCCCTATGGCACGCAAGCAGTGCTAGGATTCCAGATGTTTCTACTGACTTTATTAGTGCCATTTCTTACTCTGCAGCCTCAACAGTGCTCATTAAATAACATTTCTTGATTTCTGGGAAAAGTTGAGAAAAAGGGGCCAAGACGGTTAAAAAAAGAAAAAAAATATTGTGGGGACACTTTCGAAACTTATAATGTACAACAGGCAGTGCTGCAGCCAAGAAAAATATCGTGGAGTAATATGTACATGATACCCCAGCTTCACAGATCCTGCAGAGCAACACACAGATTGTCTCCAGTTCTCTTCTTTGCATCTAGGCAGCCTTTACCTAATGACTATTGGTTCCTATGTAAGTTTCCGTGAACTCCAGAGTTCCATGAGGCGGCTCCAAGGTTTGCCTTGTAGATGCTTTGGCCATGGAAGCCATGTTTAATTTGTGGCTGCTCCTGTCCAGGTACCAGTCCGGGTCTTTTGGCCATGGGTATAAATGAAGAGCATTTCTATTAATCAAGGAGAGCTTTCCCACCTCTGAAAACACTCTGATGTCCCTAGGATGACACACAGGTGCCTGCACACAGGTCTTACCCTAGTCCCAGGATGCCTGGCTAGCTTCTTTATGGCTAGCTTCTTCCCTGCCTTCTAGGGAAATAAAACAATAGTTAAAAGCCAGTTCCTCTACTGCTCTTCTTTTCTTCCCTTCTATTTCCCTAAGAGAGGTGGGCAATGAGGAAAAGTAAGAGGAATGGTTTCACCAACTCTGACCCTTGGACAACAAGGATTCCGGCACATCAGGGTCCATTATGATAAAGAATTTGTGCACCTCTAACCTACTATTTGTCTAAATTTGTTAATAATTCCCAAGAAAGGAGATGGCATCAACTCACTCAGCAACCCATCTTTTGGTGACTCTACTAGAATTCCCAGCTTCGTCATTAAACCAAAGATAAAATGCTGAAAATTGTGGTCTCATTCTAATATCCTTGTTCTAGTCATGCAAAAACAATACTTTCATAAAAATTCAGTTTAAATAATGAACCTAAAGTATTAGTACTCAATATGCCATCCATCTTCTTAGGCTGGGAGTCTCTTTGCATATCAAACTCCTCTTGACACACCCACGACTAAATGAAGAGAATGAGTAAATAATATCTGAAAATAAAGCCTCTAGACCTGCAGCATCTAATTAAATCTCTGGTACTAGCTTTTGGTTGATGAGACCCTTGGGCAATTCCTGTCTCTAAGCCCCAGTTCCATGGAATACCCCTGTCAAGGTTAAACGAGAGGATTAAATGAGATGTTAAATCAAACTCTGCCCACACTATGAGGCACATAGTAAACAATAAACTCTAAGCTTTTTTTGAAACTTTTAATTATAATGTTTTTTTAAAAATGGAGACAAGTTTCCACCAAATTCTTAGTAAAGACAGATAAAAAGGCAAAAGCTTCTGTATTTTTAAAGCTTCAATATTTAAAAAAATAATTCAGTCATTTACACACACACAAATCATTCCACCATCTTTAACGGATGAAGCAGAATATTATTTGCCCTTTTGCTTCAAATTTAATACCCTCACTGGTTAACAGCGTTGGAAACACGAGGGCAAGGCATTTTCTTTGAAACAGCCGCTACACAGCGGTTTTGCCTCGGGGTGGGAGGAAAGCCTTCCCTTCCTCCCTGGGACAACGACAAGTCGCAGCCGGACTCCGGGGGAAACGTGCGTCCCCACGCGAGTTACTTGGTGTCCGGGGCCTGTGCGGAAGGGGACATAATAGTCCGCCAGGAGTGACCCCAGTGCCCCCCTACACACCCAGGGGCGCGGGAGCACTTGTACCCCGCCTTCCGGGACCGAGTGTGAGTTTGGGTCCCCGCATCGGACCCGGTGGCCCCTTCCCTTTGCAGCCACGGTGCGCGCGCCCCCGGCGGCGTCCCGTCCTGCGTGTGGCCAACTCCGCGGCTGCCGCCGCCAACTGCGGGCAAGTCCAGCCACCCCGGCCCCGCCTGCGCAGTCCCCAGCCCTGCCTGACACTGGAGTTGGTACATACGGGTCTGCAGCGCAGGCGAGCAGGGGAGTGAGCGCTATTTTAAACATGGCTTTCCCTCTCCTGTAGCCTCAGAGCCATCGCGGCGCACCGGCGTGGGCACGGCCCACATGGGAATAACCCCGACATCTGCCCGACTTATTGGATTCATTTTCGATCTCCCTATGCGTGGACTTGTTCCCCACCCCGCGCTGCTTTTCCTCCACACTAACCGCAACCTAGCAGTTTATAAAGAGGAAACTCCCCTCCTGGAAGCGGGGGTGAAAAGCGCTTTTGCTTCTTGTTCGAGGTGGAAACCATTCCGGCTAGAATGAGTTCAAAAAGAAGGGAAGCCGGGTCGCCGGAAAGAAAGTAACATTCAGAGATCGATGGGGACAGCGGGAGGGCGCAATGTCTGCAACAGGCAACTGAAAACAAGCACTGAAGAAGCAAAGAGATTCGCAACCCCCGAGTTACTACCGAGTGCACTGCACGCCATCCATTGCAATGACAAGATTTGCTGTTAGCACAATTTGAAGGCCTTTGAAATGTTTTTTGGTAAGACTTACCTTTCTCTTCGGCATAATGACTACGTTGGTGAAGCTAAAAAGTAAAGCAACGGGCTGGAACTGCTGGCACCGCCGCTGGATGCTGGCACCGCCACTGGAGGCTGCCCCCGCCGCAGCTGTTCACGCGCAAGGCTCGGCGTAGCCCGGCCTCCGGGACCTGAACCTCCGCGTCTCCCTCCAGGGGCCCTCTACTCGCTTGCCTCCCCGCTCCTCCAATGAGGAGCCCCGGCAGCCGGCCGCGAGGCCCCATTGGCTGCGGCAACGTTCTAAATTCCACGAGGGCACGCCCACCTCCGTGCGCACGGTACGCTCTGTTGTAGTTTCCAATTCACCGGAAAAAAAAAAAAAAAAAAAAAAAAAA